AGAAGTAGATGCAACTTTAAAAGGTCCCCAGATGTCACAATGAATCAAAACAAAGGGTTGATTAGATGAAATTGAACTAACAGTAAAAGGTAATCGATGTTGCTTGGCTAAAGGGCAAATATCACAAGCATTATTAGATGCAAAAGGGAAATGTAACAACTGTTTGGACATGAAATCTAGACGAGAGGATGACAAGTGACCCAAACGCCGATGCCAGAGCTCCGTTGGTGAAAGCACAAGGTTGCAGAACCGTCGAGGAAACTTAGACTGATCAGGAGCCAAGGCCACCAAGTAGTATAGCCCGCCTCTTTGCTTACCCAAACCAATCACCGTCCTCGTCGTTAGGTCCTGCATAATACACCAGGAAGGAAAAAAAGTTACTGAACAATGTAAGCCACTCGTAATACGACTTACTGACATCAAATCTACTTTAAAAGTAGGCACACACAACACATCTTGCAATTTAAAAGTAAAACTCAGAGGGACATGGCCAATGGAAAGTATGCGGGCTTGCTCTCCACTGGGTAACAAAACAGGAGACATATTCTTATTTTTAACACCACCAGTAAGCAATTCGGGTGAAGAAGTGATGTGATCCGTTGCACCACTATCGATTATCCATCGATGGAGATGCAAGGGAGAGTTCGACAAACCTGTCTTAGCGACATTGGCCTGTGGCTGTTCCTCACGGCTCTGACCATTCATGATTTGTAGAATCTGTTGAAACTGGGCATCAGAAAGTCCAGACATGACGGACTGCAACTCCTCTTTGGTGGCTGCATTTTCCGAGACATGATTCGCCGAGGAAGATCCCCGATCTTTTTTTGGTCGCTGGTTTCCTTTCTGTGGTTTAACTTTATGCAAACGGTGTCCTGGTGGATATCCATGAAGCTGATAACAGGTATCAATGGTATGGTAGTCTTGATCGCAATGAGTGCAATGCAAAGGTTTGCGATTAGAAGACTTTGAACTAGGTTGACGTACTGCCATAGCTGCTACGTCTGTAGTAACTCGAGAAGAAGCAAGGCTTCATTGCTTCTCCTCCTGGGAAATAGATGCATAGGCTTGACGAACCGTAGGTAAAGGATTCATCAACAGGCGCTGTCCTCGAACAGCACTATAGGAGTCATTGAGTCCCATAAGAAATTGCATCAACTTGTTCCTCTCATTCTGTGCTCCACAGGTGCAAGAAACAGATTCACTGTATGACGACAATTCATCCCACAAACTTTTCATCTTCGTGTAATACGCAGCAATGGAAAGTTGATCTTGTGTAAGTGAAGCAATGTCCCGTTGTATTTGGAAAATTCGGGGGAGCATTACTTTGACAATATCGCTCACGCAATTCCTCCCATATCGCATGAGCATCAGTCATATATAAGATACTATCAGCAATATCCGAGTCAATAGAATTAATAATCCACGCAACGATCATGTCGTTGCATCTCTGCCACGAAGCGTGATCGTCCGGCATGGTCTTGACAGAAGGTTGCAGGACAGTGCCATCAACAAAGCCAAGTTTATTTTTGGCACTCAGCGAGATCTTCATAGCACGAGACCAGGTTGAATAGTTATCCCCATTCAAGGGTTTCGAAACCAGCATCATGGCTGGATGATCAGAATGATGAATGAAAAGAGGATTGGAAGCATCAGCCTTAGCATTGAATTTGCTTCCAGAACTTGCGTCGGTAGCCATGGAGGTTGACGAAAAAAGGCTATGTGAAAATAGCAAAGAACAAAGGGCAGAGGAAGGAACTAGGGTTTCGGCCTAGCTCTCGATACCATGTAAAATCGTACCACAAATATTTTGCAGAAGATTAATTTCTTCTATTGCTTCTTAGAGTCTTTATACAAAGAGAGATCTAACCAAATAGGTAACCTATCCTACATTCTAGGTTTTACAGATATTCTCAAATCAATTATAAACAATTTACAAAATAGTTTCCTAAAACTAAGCCAAGATATCAGGGATGATATCATTGACTTCTCAACACGCTCCACGTCACCCAATTCGTATTGTCCACGCGTTTGGCCTGAAAATTCATCACATGTAAGGGGATGTGTTGAGAATGCGTCCCACATTGATGAGAGGATGGACCTTGCAAGTGCTTATAAGTAAGTTGGGCTACTCCCCATATTGCCAATTGGTTTTATGGTGAAACCTAAACTTTCTTCAAAACTCCCATGGGTTCTCGATATAAGTATCAAATGTACCTCTCTACTTACTATGTTTTTTAGAGGAGTTGTATACCAGCAAGCAAAACTGAACCCGATATTGATTTGTCTCCCCAAACTTCGGGTCTCATTTCAAATCCAAATCTTATTAGCTCGTCAGACATTCGAGACCAACTTCGTCCAAGCTCATCCATTAATCTAAATTAGTAAATTGTTCAAACTAAACTAAATTGTGCCCATTGCAGCAGCTATCAGTCTAATTGATGTACCAAAACGCTATCTAACCATATCAATCAACTGGAATTAACACACAACCCACAAAACAAAAAACAAATCCTTTTTGCAAAATAAATAGTGGGTTGTTCATAATTTCTAATTTTCCAAATACCCTTCAATAAAAATTCAAATACAGCAGAAAAAGAAAAAAAAAAGAAAAAAAAAAGAAAAAAAAAAGAAAAAAAAAAGAGAAAACTTGAAGCATCCATGACTGAACAAGTTGAGAATTACCAGAATATGGAACATTACGATGATGAAGAAAGCTAGAAACGAGTGGACCCCGCCGTAGAGCAGCTTGGGTCCCCAAGTGACGACGACGACTGCATAGTAGGAGACGGAGAGATGATGGCAGCAGCAACGAGGAGGATCATGAAATAGCCGATGACTTTGAGGCCGGAGCAGAGCCTGAAGAGGTTTATCTTCATTCCGGGATTGGTTGGGATTCGGAACGGCCGAGATATGCCGATTGGGAACTGGGGGAGGGTGATTGGCCGCCTGGTTCGCGGTGGGAAGAGGCGTTTCCAGATGTCAGGAGCCAGAATTAAGGTGTTCCGGGATTTGGAGTTGGAAGTGGGGAGGGACTTTGCTGAGTGAAAAGTCGACTTCTCCTCTGACTTTTACTCCAACAGTAGTAACTGAGTTTGGTACTTCGGGCGTGTCGGAGGATCTGTCACAAACTCATTCCACCGTGTCAGTTCTCTCTTTCTTCTCGAGGAATGCTATTCATAGGATGGATTTGTACCACATTTTCATGCCACATGATATTTAATGTGAACAGTCATATCATTTGAATTAATCAGATTTTTAAATATAATTTATTATTTAATAAACTACTAATTAAAAAAAACTAGTTAATTAAATGATGATTATAGTATACGATGAGTTTTTCTTCCTCATTTCTTTGAATTTTACATATGAATAAAATTTCTCTATTCTCTTTCTCAAACAAACAAATAATTTCTTTATACTTTTGAACAAAAACTTAATTAATTTCTTTATACTAAAATATTTTCACAGATGGCAGAAAAGGTAAATTATTTATATTTTTAGAAATGTTTTTTTAATGAAAATTTCAATAGATTGAAGATTTGGATTTTTCTCATCGAACTAAATTGATGGTTTCCAATTCCACGATCAAATCTTAATTATCAAACACAATCACTCTTATAATATAGACAATTTAAGTATCAATTATGTACACATAAATACTATGTATTAAATAGTTGGTTATTAGTAATCGGCATCATTATCAAAGATATTATGAGAACTCTCTCAAAGTAAAATTCTACATAAATTCTATGTTATCTCATAATTAATTTAAGATCAGCTCTTATAATAATATTATAACGTATTGTACCAAGTGAAAAAGAATATTACTTTTGTGCTTAACATGAGTAATTTTCGTAAGCGCATTAAAGCGGTAAATGTAGAAATTATAAAAGAATTTTTATTTTTTGTTTTATTTTGGAGCCTTTTGACCTTAAAAGTCGAGAAACCTCGTCGACATCCAAAACCGAAAACCGAAAACCGAAAAGATGTTCCCCTAAATCCGCTTTCAAAATCTTTGTTCCCACCTCCCCCTTTCCTCGACTCTCACTCGACCGCCCTTCCCTTGTCTCTCTCTGTCTCTCAACCCCATTAATTTCGTCCCTTTTCCTCTTAATTCTGCTTCTAATTGATTTTGTTTCTCTTTTGGGGGCTGATTTAGGGTTAGGGCTTTGTATTCCTCAAACCAGAGAAAATTTTGGAAGAAAAAAAGATGCAGCAGCCACCACAAATGATCCCCGTCATGCCTTCATTTCCTCCCACCAACATCACATCACACCGAACAAATTCAGAAGGTACCCTTTTTCCCTTGTGTATTTGAAACTGTTAACTGTTAATTGTTTTCCGGGTTTTTCCTTAATTTTTTGTTATGTTAGTTGTGATTACTTGAATAAAATTTGTTAAATTTTGTTCTGCATATAAGAGAGCCCTTTAGCTGACGATATTTAGGGAGGAATTCGATAAGTCCCGCTGTTGTTGTATAGTTTTATGGTGGACTGATGTATCATAGGTGATGATCATTTACAGAGTTTTGAACTACTGTTGGCTGAGAGTGTGAAAAGAACAACTGTTTCATATTGTAAGCAGCGTCTGTGCAGACGGAAATGAAATATTAACTCAAAAGGTGGTGTCTTCTAATTAATGTGTATAATTGTGTCTACTTTAAGTGGTTTTCACATAGGAGTCAAGTAATCATGAGCATGTGGCACATGAAAGATTTTTAGGAACAAAGCTTATTTTTCCCCCCTCGGTAGGGTAGTTAATCAATTGTTGCCCATTCAGGGTATGAAAGAAATTTTTTAACAAAGTTCAATTTCTGGCAGTGTTTTCCTCTGCAACGTCAAGTGTAATAACTAAACTAAAGATTATTAACTTATTTCACCAAATACAGAATCCTAGTTCATAGTAATAGGGGAACGTTCTTCTTGTTATATGAAAAAAAAGCCCACGGGACATAGTCTTCAGTTGGTGCTTGTCCAATGTTTTGTTGAAACATTAGGGATGTTTAGTATTTCTTGTAGTTTATTCTCCTAATCTGTGTGAAGTGCCTTTTTAATGTCTGTTTAGATTTTTCCCTCGATCAGCCTTCTGGCCATTGGATTTCATGTTGAGAAGCTATCTAGTTACTCTACTGCTGTGCAGATTTTGTTTCACTGGTTACCAGTCTTCCCTGAATTGGGGATCGAGGCAGACATGATATAGCTCTCTTGTCACCTAAGATGTATGTTCTTGTTTACGAGACCAGGATTCTTGATACAACAACAAAGCCTTATCCCACTAAGGTCAGCTGTATGAATCCTAGAACACCATTGTGTCGGGTTTTGCTCCAAGTATTCCATTAGCTCCAAGTACTCTATCTCTTTTCTTAAATTCTCGCTCTAAGTCTTTAAGGTCTTCATCTACCCCCTTTTTCCCCGAGTCTCTATCTCATAATTGCATTTTCTAACTGGAGCATCTATAGATCTTCGGTTCACATGTCCAAACCACCTTAACCGGATTTTCTCTTATCTTATCTTATCTTCAATTGTATCCGCTCCTACTTTAGCTCGGATATCCTTGTTCTTAATCTTGTCATTTCTTGTGTGCCCACACATCCAACGAAGCATTATCATCTTTGTTACACTCATTTTTAAAAGGCTTACATTCGGTGCCATAAAGCATTTATGGCCTTATTGTCGTCATATAAAATTTTCTCTTGAGTTTTAGTAGCGAAAGACAATTTCACAGCACACCCAATGCACTCTTCCATTTCATCCATCTAGCTTGTATTCTATGGTTGGGATATCCATTCAAATCTCAATTCTTTTGCAAGATAGATCCAAAATAACGAAAGGGTATCCGATCAACTCTTTGTGAGTATACTCGGATACTTACCTTAGTCTCTGATAAGGAATTCCTCATTCACTCATGCTGATTACGTGCCTCCTGGTAACACACACTTAACCACAAGTCTTCCACTTAACATTGACCACACTATTATGTTTTTGTTCCCCGAACTAGGGAGGATGATTGACACATTTTATGAACATGGAGGCACTGATTTTGTGATCAACCAAAAAGTAAAGTTAAGCCTACTTTACTTTTAGGTGTCGCTGTTCAGGCAAAGACCTGATTTGTCGTAGATTCACTAAGACCTCCTCTCCCACCAAGAGTTAAAGTTTTGGTATTACATTTCCCACATCTTTTGCGATTCAGCATGTTCTGTTAAACACCCACAGATCATTTTGTTATATTTTTGCTGTATTATTTATTGAAGGCATCATATACCAAGGGAATATTGCTTATGATACTGATGCGCATTAACAAGTTAGGTCGTACCGATGATTTGGAGTTATCTATAGCCAACCAACGCAGTGTTTCGATTAACATATGGTAAAAGACCTTAAGTTTGAGCATTGGCTGAGTAACCTGCTATCGGTTATGGAAAGCTTTTAGTTTGTTTCTATATTGAGCTTCGTACTCGATTTGGAGTAGTCCTTGTGGTTTTCTCCAGGGCCTATACATTCATTTCTTATTGGCAGGTATTACAAAATTCCCTTGTCACTTGAATCTTGGAATGTGGCTAGCCTTCAATTGTGGAAACCTCCGTAAAAACTTCCCTCCTTCTGGAGTTACATAGATCATACATATACTTCAAAAGAACTTTTTCATTGGCAGACCACAGCATTATCAAAAATAGAGCGGTTATTTGATATCCATTAGGATTCGCCTTTTATGCCAAATCTATAAAGACAATGATTCACATAATATCTTATTGTTGCAAATGAACCATCTAGTATAGGTATCATTATATATGTTTTTTGTAAGAGATAGATTTTTTGGCAATCAAGTCTCGCGAGCTTATACCAGTAGGATTTGAAACTTTTGATTACGATGACTACTATCTCAAGAGGGACACTGAACAAAGCGAATACATTGATTAGTCTGAGAACGAACTCTAAGGAGTCTGTCCTGCTTGCTATGATCTAATGCGTAAAATTTATAAACACGCTCACATAGCAATTACTCCTCATCCAATCCCCAAAAGCTTCATTGAGTCTGAATACCCATCGACTAAAGCTAGTGAGTAGTTAGATAAAGTAACAGTGATTAACAGGGGTTGATGTTTCGTTGTCCTAAAAATTTCCATATAAGCAAGAAGGCTGTCTCTATATTGAAATAGTGTGACTATGTGTTTCAATGCAACTTTTGAAATCCTAAAATTCAGAGTGAGAATGAAACATTTAAGACATACGATGGTCATTATCCTTTCATCAGTAGAAGGGGGTACACTCTCACCAACCCCACCACTGGCGCTACGCTGCTCTACTTCGCCACCATCCTCCTTCCCACCTCCTACCACCCCGCTTTTTGTTATTAAGTATTGCTAGTCTTGTATCCATATGTTTGTTTACTTGTATATTCGATTTTAGGATGACTCTGAGCTTTTTTTCCGCATCAATGTAGCATGTTGCGCCTAATTCTTCGATTGTATGTGTTGTACTTGCCAATTCATTTCTATTCTTAATCCCCTGAATCTTCTGAGATACATGAGGCTGATAGATTAATGGCAGTGCCAATTGTATATATGACAACTTGGAATCTAAGTATTACATGTGGATACATGTGTGTTATTGTTGGTATGTTTTAATAAGGGATATTTTAGTATTCTCTGGAATATCCTCACGCGCTTAAGATTGTTTAATGATATGATGATTTTGGAATCATCACTTGAAATATAAGTGATACGGTAAATCTTAGAAGTAATCTATTAAATCAAATAAGGAATTATAGTACAATCACTCAATGTTTATCTAAATTACTTGATTTGCAGTTATTCGCCACCTAGATCTTGAGATCATACAAGAGAAGTTTGATTCGTAAAAGGTGTCATAGTATCAAGGATTTATATCAAAACCAAATCCTGAAAACTATTATGAGTCAGAGTGTGCCTCAGTAAACTTTTAAAACATAAACCCGCCCTCTTCTCTCTCCCTATCTTTTAAGAAAAGCAGATTGAATTCTATGAAATATCAAATATGAAAAAAGAACCAACGATTTAATTAAAGAAACATATCAGCAAAACATAAATTAATCAGCAGATTTTAAGAAAATCACTTATGGGAAAGAACCTAAGACTTCTCACTTACAAGTAAAGATGAATACTATTAGACCATAATGCTAAGTGACACCTTCAAAAATATTTAAATTTAAAGAGTTATTTCATTCCAACCCAATCCTCCATGCCAAAAAGGCAATATATGTAGATCCAAGACAGTGAATATGGGAGTCTTTATCAATATGGCCAAATTTTAGCCCATTTCATAAATGTCAACTTTGTAACAAATTTCATCATAGTCCAAAATCACTCTTGCAATAACCCAAATACACTATCCATCACATTACAAAGCCTACTACCTTATTCTTTTCTGTAACGCATGTGTGCTGTAATCCTTTTATCTGTCTTTATGAGTTATATGTGAATGTAGGCAGGCAAGTTGGCTATGATAAATTTAAAATAGTGTTGCATTATGCACTTGTCCTCATTAGAAAATTAGACAAGTAAGACTATTATTATCTTGACGTAGTTTCATACGTGATGAATGTAAAAAACGTAGTTGTATTCGATCCGAATATAAATCCAATACCTTTAGGGAATTGCAAATTATAGCTCATCAGTCTATCGTTTTGTATCTGTGTTGTCTATATTTACGGAAAAAATTGGAGATAAAAACAAGATATCCATTCTACACCTCTTGTTATACAGAAATACAACTTGATGCAATATAGCATTAAATCAAGTTTACCGGGTAAAATCTGTATGGAGCGAAAATGCTTTAACTGATCTCAATACCACTCCTTATGCTAACATTTGTAATTTGTAAAGCTGAGGAACAGAGCGTCCACAGTGGCGTGTCAGACGAGTTAAGTATTTCGTTAGTGCCTACATTCAAATTTCATGGCGGTCTCAGAAAGGTGTAATTTTAATTTGGATTGCACAAGATCTTATGGGTCAGAGTACCTATGAATTTTTGCGCGCATATGACTTTGTTCTTATTAGATCCACACTACATTTGACGATTCATTATTATCCTTTCGGAACTTGAGGTAGTGAACCTGTTATTGTTAAGTGTTCTTCACGGATCACTGGTCTTATTATCAGTAGATGAAGATTCACCTGAAGAACAGTAGTATTCTAGGTAGCAAGCAATGAAATGCCTAGAT